CTAAGTCGAGAGGCCCAGACTTTCCTCTCCCCAGCCTCTTGGGCCAACTCCTCCAGGGGAATCCCAAGGCGTTCCCTGGCCAGGTGAGAGACATAGTCCCTCCAGCGTGTCCTGGGTCTACCTTTAGGTCTCCTCCCGGTTGGACGTGCCCAGAAAACCTCACCAGGGAGGCGTCCAGGAGGCATCCTGACCAGAGGTCCAAACCACCTCAACTGGCTCCTCTTGATGTGGAGGAGCAGCGGGTCTACTCCGAGCCCCTCCTGAATGACCAAGCTCCTCACCCTATCTCTAAGGGAGAGCCCAGCCACTCTTCGGAGAAAACTTATTTCGGCCGCTTGTATCCGCGATCTCGTTCTTTCGGTCACTACCCAAAGCTCGTGACCATAGGTGAGGGTAGGAACGTAGATCGACCGGTAAATCGAGAGCTTCACCTCCTGGCTCAGCTCTCTCTTCACCACGACAGACCGGTACAACTCCCACATCACTGCAGACGCAGCACCAATCCGCCTATCGCTCTCACGCTCCAGCTTTCCCTCACTCGTGAACAAGACCCCGAGATACTTAAGCTTGGCTTATGCTTGACGCATTCACTTTCCGCTTGGTGATGCGGCTCGCGGATGGAACGCGCTTCACAACTCGCAGCGTTTATGGTTCATGCGGCTTGTCTCTGCGGTGAGCCAATGTTCTCCCAAACTGAACGGGGCAGTATGGCGCTCTACAGCATGCATCCAACACTACACCATAGTAGAAGTAGAAATTACTGTTTACAACATGGCATTTCAGCATTTTTAACAGCGTCCTCGTCTTTTCCGTCAGTGCGAGCAATTTCTCTCCAAGAATTATTAACAACATGTTGATCACGGTGATCTCTGAGAGCTGAATCATACAAATGTCTGTATTTACCAACCTCTGCCATACTAGTTCTTGCCGATCCGCCATGTTTTTCCGCGTCCGTCCGTCCGCGTGGTTAGAAATTTTCCGAGGTGCGCGTTGCGGAAATTCTGGGCCGTGTGGAGGCGCGGTGGAGGGGCGTGGTTGTTAAAATGACGCAAAATGACACAACTTTTCCGCGCGGAGCCGTGCGGACCTCGCGGACGCGTCAAGCATAAACCAACCTTTAAACTCCTCTACTTGGGGCAGGACCTCATCCTGATGAACATGAGTCCAAAAACTGGAGAATTTGGGAATCCACTGTAGTGTTAAGGATTGACTACATTTGTATTAAATGATCAATAAGATGTGATAATTCCATATAAATATGAAATATCAATCTGATCTGTCTTTGAATGTTCAATCAGAAGACTTTAGTTTAATTGGCTTATTCAGGGACCATGAGCACACTTCATGTTAATTCAGACAGTCAAGTATATAGTTTGTACAATGAATTTATTTTTATTTTTACTAAACTGATGATGATACAGGACGAGGTGTGAATGAAGTGATAGAATGTAATGATGAAATGGAAGCTAGATGTTTTAGCTAAACCTTTCTTAAGTTTCTGAGAGAGTTTGTGGAGTCTGGGTTGTAAAATCAATTGGGCTGTATGGTTTGATAAGCCAGAGATGTGTTTATAAAACCATCCGACGCAATTTGTGCCGAGTCTACGCACCCTTGTGTGGAGATTCCTGAGTGATCCAGGGGGTCAAGAGGTTGGGATGGACGATGCTGGTGGAGTGAACCTCTAGCAACCAGGAACCTGTAGATTAGCTCAGATACGACCCTGAGTCTGAGATGTGCTCCAGGTGACGGCAGGAAGCTGGAATGTTTGTTTTGGGTCTAAGGCTGTCCGGTGGCTCTTTAAAGAGCCGTTGCGTCTGTAATCACTTGAGGTCAAAAGAGATCCTCTTTTTCAAATGTTTGCTCACTGGCTTGGCCAGACCAAGAGTCAGCTGGAAACTGACTTGATCAGGAAATAATTCCTTTATACAGTATATTTGTTTATAATTTTGGCAAATCAGGATTAAACATGTTGGAAGGCATTACCGTAATACCTCCAAAGTCACGCCTTCATTCAGATACTCGGAGAGGTTACTCTTAGTCAAGTGGAAATGAGTTTAACATTTATGTGAAGTGAATGTTAAACCTTAATAATAATCTTCTTATGATGTATGAGTATTCTGATAGATTAACTTGGTAAATCAACAAATACTGATCTGGTGTAGTTTAAGATCTGAAACCAATCATTGCAGGAAAAATATTCATTTGAACACATCCTGGATTAAATGCTCAGATTATTCAAACATTTTAGGATTCAAACATCTTGTTCATTTAACACATTTGATTATTTCAACCTATAAAGTTGTAAATTCATTTATGATTCAAGGATGATGAACTTTATTCAGAGTGAAAATAAAAGGAGTCTCCGCATGAGGCCTGGAGCAACGATATTATGGCTTCCTTGGTCAGTTGCATGTCACATATCCCTGTTTTTGTTTCTTGGAGGTCAGACAGATGTGGTACGTCCCTGGATGTGTGGCGCAGTTTGTGGCTGCAAATTAAAAGTTAATTTCTGTTCATTCTGATGGTACGCTACAACTGTGTGACTCACTCACTCACTCACTCACTCACTCACTCACTCACTCACTCATGGAATTAGCATTTTTATTCCACAAATAATAGGCACCTCCAAATCTGAGACCATGGTTCTCGACCGGAAAAGGGCGGCTTGCCAACTCCGGGTCGGGGGAGAGGTCCTACCTCAAGTGGAGTTTAAGTATCTCGGGGTCTTGTTCACGAGTGAGGGTAGGAGGGATCGGGAGATCGACAGGCGGATCGGTTCGGCGTCTGCAGTGATGCGGACGCTGAACCGATCTGTCGTGGTGAAGAGGGAGCTGAGCCAGAAAGCCAGGCTCTCGATTTACCGGTCGATCTACGTCCCAATCCTCACCTATGGTCATGAGCTTTGGGTAATGACCGAAAGAACGAGATCGCGGATACAAGCGGCCGAATTGAGTTTCCTCCGTAGGGTGGCCGGGCTCAGCCTTAGAGATAGGGTGAGGAGCTCGGACATTCGGGAGGGACTCGGAGTAGAACCGCTGCTCCTCCGGATCGAAAGGAGTCAGTTGAGGTGGTTTGGGCATCTGGTCAGGATGCCTCCTGGACGCCTCCCTGGGGAGGTGTTTCGGGCATGTCCTGCCGGCAGGAGGGCCCCGGGTCGACCCAGGACACGTTGGAGAGGTTACATCTCCAATTTGGTCCGGGAACGCCTTGGGGTCCTGCCGGAGGAGCTGGTGGAGGTGGCCGGGGAGAGGACGGTCTGGAGCTCCCTAGTTGGGATGCTGCCCCCGCGACCCGGACCCGGACAAGCGGCGGAAGAAGACGAAGATTTCACAAATAAGAAATGATGACGAATGACGAGGAGGAGGATTGAATTAAAGAATCAGTCTGATGTTTCCAGGGATGAAGGAGGTGAGCAGAAAGCCAGGAAGTCATCAGGTTTTGGTGGACTCGGGTGGTTTTTATACGTCTGCTGTGTTCCTCCACCTGAATTGGACTCGTTGGATTTCGGCCTTTCTAAATGACCTTCTTAAATGTGATTTTTGATCTCCGTAGTCTTGAAGCAGGACCTGAATGAGTGATTGGTTCTTTAGTAAATATTTAGACTTTTGTCTTAATTACAGAACGAGACTCCAGCTGGACGCTGATGCGATCATAACGGAAGATAATCGCACCCGTTTGTTGTCAGAATTAAAATTAACGACCGAGGCTTGTTTTCTCAGGATAATGGGATGATGATGCAGACATGACTGATGCTTCTGCTCCATCCAGTTTCACCAACATGACTGATTCAGACCAGTGACGTGCCGATCAGGGATTTTTGGCATATCTTCCGACTGATCGATCACAGCGAGACTCGGCTTGTGTCTCAAGGTCTGTTCATTCAGTTTCAGGTCTGAATGAAGAAACATGTTGCCTCGTTAGGATTCTTAACGTCCTTTCTTCACATCGTATTTAATCATCAACGTGTTTCATATTCAGGTTTGTTTTAGGATAAAAACAAATGATCAGAACAAACGGAGGAAGCAGCAGTCTGACTTTGTTTTATAAAGATTGTAATAAAATGCTGAAATCGGCTTTTTTCCTTTCTGACCTCTCGGGTTTAAAGTTTACCTCTAACAACGTTGTTTTTTAGCTGCGAAGGCAGGAGGGTCAACATCTCGTGTTGATTTAGCGTTGCTGGGTGGGTCGCTGTTTGCTTGGCACGCCGCCCTGAGTGGGTTGTTATTTTTATGCACACAAACCAATCTGCTGATGCTGAAGAGCCTTGTGATCATTCAATTTCTTTCTGGAAAGGGTGCCAGTCTGCGGCGGTTCTACTTCGTTTGAAGCCAGAGACCAATATCGCAGCTCCTAACGTCGTCATGGGAACCTGAGCTCACAGCTGATCAGCAGCTTCTCATCTCTATTTCATGTACTTGCATTAAGATTTTGTTTGAACTTTTCTACATTTGGTAAAACATCAAGCCTGTGCTCGGCTTCTGACCAAGTCCTCCAAACACACCCACATCACCCCGCTTCTCCTCCAGCTTCACTGGCTGCCAGTCAACTTCAGGGTTCATTTCAAGATCCTGGTTCTGGTCTATAGGGCCTTACATGGACAAGCACCATCTTACATTGGTGATCTTCTTAGTCCCTACACCCCCAGCAGGTCCCTGAGGTCCAGTGATCAAAGCCTACTGGTTGTGCAGCACCAGGCTAAAGGTCAAAGGTGACAGATCATTTGCTGCTGTGACCCCCAGACTCTGGACCTCTCTCCCTCTGAGGCTTTTCTTTCTTTCTTTCTTTCTTTCTTTCTTTCTTTCTTTCTTTCTTTCTTTCTTTCTTTCTTTCTTTCTTTCTTTCTTTCTTTCTTTCGGTCGGTCGGTCGGTCGGTCGGTCGGTCGGTCGGTCGGTCGGTCGGTCGGTCGGTCTAAAATTTTAAAATCTGACCTCTGACCTTCGTTTGAGCCACAAGGAGATTAGTTACAGAAGCTCACACGGATCTGCTTGATCTCCTTCAGGTAGAGCTATGATGTGAGAGAACCAGCTCCCATCAGAACCTCACAGAGACGCCATGCTCAGCTGTGATGGTGACCCTGCAGATGAAGCCGTGGGCTCGGAGGTCCATCTGGATCTTTCCCAGCACCCCTCCTACTCCGGCTCTGCTCCTTTAGAGCTAGAAGAAGAGGAAACGGGACAAGGATGTGAAACCCAAAGCCAAGATGGACGCCTTCAGAGATGCGGACAGTGAGTTGTTTATAGAACCAAACAGATTGTTTCCTGTCTGATTTGAGAAGATCTTGTGATTTTTTTTATTTCTGTGTTTTTGCCATTCTGCAGGTTGGATAAGAGGTGGATTCTCTGGCATGAGTTCATGAAGGAACACGCCCACTTAGACACTTGGCTGCGATTTGCTGAGCAGGCTGTTACCTCTTTAAGCCCCGCCTACATTACTTATAGTGTTGCCAAAGAGGAGCTGAAGAAGTTTGAGGTGCGAAGACTTGAATGGTCCCATTTAAAACCCTAAACTGATCTCTGATTGGATCGAGTCATGCTAAATGATCATAAAAAAAATCCACGTCTGGTTTTGATCTAGATTTTCTAACATGCTGGGGTTTTCTGTGCTTTGATGTTGTTCTTGTGTTCAGAGGTTGCGGTCTGAGGCAGGATCTCAGCTCATCCAGGTAGACAGTCTGACCCGCAGAAATCGGACATTGACTCGACTTTTCCAGGGCACAATGCAAGCCCGGCTGCTGGCATCGGCGCGGGAATGTGGCCAACGATGGGACGACGTGAACGCCAAACTGGAGTCCACCGGAGCACAGCTGCAGGTCCTCATATTTTATATAAATCTGGGTATCATATCTAATTGGATATGAGGATTTCCTGGTTTCTGACTTTAAACAAAAGAGCAAAATCTAGATTTCTGAAAGAAAGCAGATAATCTGTTATTAACGTTTTTAATCTGCATGATTTCAGTTTCATTTGATGGAGTGTAGAGAAGAAATGCAAGGCGGTTACATTTTTATTATGTTTTTTTATTAATTATTCTTTATCTTTTTCATGTCTTTTCTTCTTCTGACTTTGTGATTCAGGTGCGGACTTAAAAACGTGTCCAAGATCAAAATCTGATCCTAAAACCTAAATCTGTCCAGGAATATTTCTCTTATGGTTTCTCCATGAATAATTTGTATTTTTGAAGTATGAAATACAAGAAAGTTTCCTTTTGGGAATTGATAATACGAATAATAATAATAATAATAATAATAATAATAATAATTTATATTGAAATCATTATGATCTTCTTGTATACCTTTTTAAATTTGTATGTTTTGTATTTAAAAACAAACACGTTAAATTAATTTAGTTAATTGGATAATTTATTGGTGATTAAATAATTCAATTAAAAATTAAAGATATTTGTATTATATTTTTACATTTTTGTTTTTAAAAAGATCTTTTACTTCACTCAGGAGTCTTTTGTCCAATAAAATAGGCACATTTGGATTTGGACACAAAAATCAGCTCTTTACTAAAAACTCTTTTATGAATCTGAACAGTTTAAATGTTTTCATACCCAGCTGTCACCGAAAATGCAATGAATGTTGTCTCTTTTTGTGTCAGCGCTTCATCACGGAGTGGGAGGAGTTTGAAGCAGAAAGGGAGGAGCTTGGTCTCTGGTTGGCTGACATGGACGCTTGTCTAACTGAAATCGATCACATGACAGGAAGCAACTGTAAAAAACTGAGACGGCTTCAGGTGTGCTCTTCTGCAGCTGTCAGGATCTCTTTCTGCTTCCCGAGTCACTCCTAACTTTTCCGTGTGCAGTCGTTCCAGCAGTCCGTGTGCGAGAACTCGGGCCGTGTGAACGCCCTGCTGCAGCGTGGCGAGGTGCTGATCCAGCGCTGCCAACCAGCTGATGCTCAGCATGTGGAGGGCCGATTGCTGGAGCTGCTGCGGCGGTGCAGCCATGTCTACAACAACATCGCCAGCACACACACTCGTCTCCTCAGCATGAGACTGGTACACACACACACCACACACATACACACACACACACACACACACACACTCTCTCAGACAGCATCCGCAGGGCCACAAACTCCAAATCATCCAACAACAGTTGCTGAAGGACCCTGATTTATTTCTTCCTGAAGGTTTTCGAGGACGACTGGATTCTGTCCCCGACTTCAGACTCCGGCTGTCCTTCAGAGAGTCTGCATGACGGCGAGGAAGCGTTTGATAAGTACCACCTGGACCTCCCTTCGGTTTCAAACCGCCTTAAAGGTAAAGGATGATCTGAAGCGACTGATCTCAGATTGCTTTTGAGAAAGTTTTATCTTTATAAACTCTTTCCTCCAGATCTCAGAGCATCAGGTAACTCTGCTGCAGCCTCCCCCCCACGCCGGCCTTCACCCACCCACCACCCTCCTCCTCCGCCGTCTCCGTCCTTTCCTACCCATGAGCACATGGGGCTGGAGTGGGACCCCTCGGTGGACATTGGACGCTCCGTCTCCCATGACGATGCAGACTCTTCGTATTTCAGCGCCAGCACAGGTAGGAGGAGACGGAACGATTATCAGCCGACCCAAACGGGCTCCAGTTCCGCTCTGGTTTGATTAAAGTTGCTTCTGATCTGTTCTGCAGGTTTGTGCCAACGAGGTGGCATGAAGCGGTGGAGCTACCTCAGCTCCTTTGACTCTGTTTCTGACATCAGTGCTGACCTCACAAACCAGGAAGTAGATGTTGTGAGTAACAAGTTTAGAACTAAAACCACATTTCTAATAATTCTACACCCTTTTTAAGATTCAACAGGCTAAAACGTGATCTCAGCGGGACGTCGTGTATAACTCATGATTAAAAACAAATTCTGATTTAAAAAAATCACGTTAACCTTTTTGGATCTGCTTACAAAGATAAACATTTTCCCGTTTTCCAACATGATTGTGATCGGGAGACATCCCGATCAGGATTTATTTTGCCACCGAGTCTGTTTTGAGTTCCCATAAATTCCTGCTGAAAAAACTCCCACAACAATAAATCTATTCTATCTTTTTGATTTTATTAATCTGGGACCACAGACAATCAGAGCATCAACTGTATTAAAATCAACCAGTCTGTTTCTGTAGAAGATCACGGCGTAGGGAGACAGTTTTTCTCGTCTCCTCGGGTCCCAGGGCTGCCGTCATCGTTCCTGCGAACAAATGTTTAAATATCACCTGTTTATGAACTCTCTTTACTGATCTCAGATCAGTGTTATTGTGTAACTCTATGAGGGAGAGCTGGACACGGCCAGGGTCCATAAAGACCAGCTGACTAAAAAGAAAATAATGTTTATGATTATTATTTATCTTTATTGATCGTTGAGAGAGACAGCTTCCCCTTTTAGCTTTATTTTGGCGGGCCAGAGTTGTGAAGATTTGGTGACCAAAGCTCAGAATTGAGACGATGGGGTCGTTAAAATAAAAATGATGAATTGGAAAAGACAGAGTTTGAAGGTTTTTGTGTTTTACGTTGTTGTTGAACTCTGAACAGGAAATAAACTCTTTTGCTCCTCAGGGTTCAGAGGAGTGGCTCGACCATGCTGCACCCAGACTCCTCGCTCTCAGGCAAGATGGGGACCAATGGACAACCTCCACTCCTGCCAGAGAAGACGATGAGCCAATGAGGTTTGATGGAGGGCGTGTGAAGGCGTGGCTGAGTGTCCAGAGCTCCACCCCCTCTGAGAACAGGACTTCTTGTTCCAAGGCAGTCCAGACTGACGGAGAAGTGAAGGTGGGTTCATGGAGTTCTCAAAGTGTCCAGGTGTTTAGGAACATTCTGATCTCCAGTGGACAATCAGCTGTTTGAGACATTTAAACAAATCAGAGCAAAAATAAAGACCACCACCACCACACACGCACGCACACACACACACACTTTGACTGGAGTAATTTAACCTGCAGTTCGGCGGGTCACACCCACCTGAGGAAGTGCATGGATCTCTGCAAAGTGGAATAAAACAATAAAATTAATCATTATTGTTTAGACTCCAAATCCAAATGATTTATCACAACTCTGAAG